ACATAATTTAAGTGCCTTTAAACATGTATTAAATCACCATTTCTGTATATATTTACATATGTTCGATGTTTGTTTTTGCTTAAAATATTAATTTTGATTTACAAAAAGCTGTTTAACAATTTTCCAAACCATGTGCATGAGTTTAAACAAACAAAAAAAGATACTGGTTTATAAATAAAACAAGATACAGCATCACAAAATGCTTTTATAAAACTAAACAGCTAAAATTTGCTCTAAAAATTAAACAAAAACATAAATATCGGCCCCTAAAATGCACAACGGATGCTTTAAATTATCATATAAGTGAATCTTTCAACTGGAATTTCATTAATACTGATAAAACAAACAAAAAATGAACTAAAACTCTGTTATCTGGTAAGAAAAACGTTTAAATCAAGAAATCGTGATTCCTCTTCTTGTCATTATTCACCAGATTATAGAAACTTAATGTTAGAATTTGCCACAAACAAATACACAAAGCTAATAACTATTTTAAACACATTAACGTCACWTCTTTATAGAAGAATGATCAAAACAGAGCATATATTTGGAGCGGTGTTTCTTCAAACAGGTGYGAAACCACAATCTGGATTTTAATTTCACATGTAAACACAAAATCGTTTTATAAAAAAAATACCTTTCCAAGTTTGGTTTTGCATTCAGGGTCCACCGGAGCTTTGCCCTTCATCACCACCGTCCTCACCACCTCTGAGCAACAAATGTTGGAAAACATCCAATAAAATCGAAACAAACCCAGCAGCACTGTGCAAAAGTTTCAAATGTCCTACATTCTCTACATTTTGCTTCCAAGAAGTCAGACTACCTTGTTGTATTTTAAAAAGATGGCAGCTTTTCTCACGTATTTTCTGGGAAACATTTGTAACTGAGCTACTTTATGGAAGTAAAATAAAAAGCGATGACAACGACTCAAAACGTTTTTGCATCGCTTAAAATAATAATGAGCATCAGCCGCACTTTAGAATCAAAGCTCTTCTAATTAAACATAAAATATATTACCTTCACTTTTTACTTCCTCTTCAGGCATCTCTTTTTTTGTTTCACTCCTGCTTTGTCCTCGTCTCTTCTTAGCCACTGGCTGCTGTTCAGTCTCTTCCTCCTCCTCTTCCTCTTTAGCTCGAGCAGGTTGAGCTTCGCCAAGAGCTTCACTTGAATTTTCTTAACACAAGAAAAGGAACGACACTAAAATTATTATCTTTGCAGATTGTTGAAGACAAAAATAATAATAATAATAATAATAATAATTCCAGTGTGAAAATGACAAGTTAAAGTAAAATGTCGTTTCTGCTCCCATTTTTAGTTTTTTTTTACATCTTCACCTCCTCCGCCTGCGTTTAACTAACTAAAGTTTGTTTTTGTTTTCAGCACTTTTGTTTGTATTTACCCAGATAYTATCTGTAAATCTTTCCTTTAAAACTAAAGAAAACTTGAAGTTTGGTCATTTGTTATCAATATAAAAATAATGTTTTTGCGAACTGTGTGTTCATTCAGCAGATCTGATGTAACTTTTGGGGAATAATCATTGGATGTTCATCAACTGTTGAAGTACACCTAATTCAAAACGTAGCTAATCAACACTAAAATGGTTATAACTCTTTTAATTTTAGAGACATTGGGCCTCATGCAAGAACCGTTCGTAC